CTTGTCATGTATTCCAGATCATCCTTATCTTCTGCCATTACCACCTGATTATCTGTGAATGGCAACATAACCATCAGCTTACCATTACATCTGTTCTCATATTACAACATTTCTTTTTCCATATTTTCAATACTACTTTTATGTAGATTTTAAATAAAGTTGGTGAGATACAACATCCCTGTCTTAGTCCTTTTGATACCATAAACCCTTCTGATATTTTTTTTCCAATTTTTATTTTCATTATAGATTCTCTATATAATTCTTTAACTGCTTTAATAAGTGTTATTAATATTTATCTCTTTTAAAGTCTCCCATAGTTTTGATGTTGGGACATTATATATACCTTCATTAAGTCTATAAACAACAAATGAGTTTCCTGTCCTGTTGCTAATCTCTTTTCCATAATCTGTTTTATACAGAAAATATTGTCCATACATGATCTTTCTGTTCTGAATCCTCTCTGCTCTTCTTTTTCTTTTGTTTGATATTCTTCTTCGATTAGATCTCTTCTTATTCATTCATATAATCTACTAAATGTTGCTGTTACTGTAATTCCTCAATAGTTCTCACATTGTTGTCTGTCTCCTTTTTATAGATAGATGTCAAAAAGCCAATTTTCCATTCTTTTGGAATATCTTCTCCATTAAGACACCTTTCAAATAATTTTGTTGTCATTCTAAATAATTTTTCTGTTCCATTTTTTATCAGTTCTGCCGGTATTCCTCCAAGACTTGCTCTATTATTTTTCAGTTTCTTCCATCCTTGTTTAATCTGTTTTGTCTCTAAATGAATTGGTACTGTACATCCTTTTCTTTGTTTAAATCTTCTGTCATAAATTGAATTCTATCTTCTAAGTAATAAAAACTTTTCAAAGGGTATGTATTATTAAACTTTCTTATTAAAAACTGTATTGAAATAATTTCTTTGTTATAAATTAAATTCCAGCTTATTTGTTATGAATTAAATGAAGCAAAATTAAAGTAAACAGTTGTCACACAAAAAAAAACTTTATTTATCCACAACAAACATCCAAAAGTTTGGATTTACCCTCTAAAAAAAGGTATAAAAGATATCATATGTTGCAAAAAGTCGACATAAATGATGCAAAAATCTATAGCATAATGATCAAAAAACTAGAACTGCTATTGCCATAGAATCCTTCATTTTGGCAGATATCCACAACTCATTCACAAGTGCTAATAACTGAGAAAAAGAAAAAGCATTCACTACTTGGATTTACAACAGTAAAAAACAGATCCCATTAGATAATAATGCAATTACAAAAGGAACTAAAAGTTTATAATAATTTAAAATAGCAATAGAAACGCTTTTATTAATCAGGAGGTTTGTTGCCATTAAAGATTGATTTGAGCATTTTTAAAACAGCTTCTGATTATATCTAACATAAGAATGCAGTAAAACTAATTTTATTTTATTTGCAGATTTCATTTGTGACTCCAAATGGTGAGAGTGAAAGAGAAAATAAACTGAATGCTTTGGCTTGCAGAATTAAAGTTAATAAGAGCTATTCAAATATAGCACTCTAATCACTACGACAAACATGCAACAGTACTTTCTTCTAACAACTGTTATTAACTTTTATTCTTGCAAAACAAAATATTCAATTTACTGTCTTTCATACTGACGTTCTATTTTATTTACAGACTTTCGTACTGACGTTCTATTTTATTTTATCCAGTTAGTGACCCTAACTACTTAGGATCACTAACTTGATCTGTAAATAAAATAGAATGAATTGATTCTACATAGATAAAATTATTACATTAAAATCTACAAAAATTTAACTCTCAAATATTATTTACAGCATAGATTAATATTTGTACTTTACATCTTTAGTTATTGAAGTATAAAACTGCACACGAGCTTTAAGATTACCCTGTAAATATTAATTGTATATAATGTATATATATATATATATATATATTATTTACAATTATATATAGTATGTAAAAAAGTTAGACTTTATTTGTACTGTACCTTGTAAAGGTAAACAGAAATGTTTCAATGTTGCACACAGAGTTTAAGTCTAACAGTCGTAAATAATTTTTTTGTCTTCATCTGAGCAACTATATTTTCTCTAAGGAAAGCATATTACCATCAAAAGATACCACATTCCTTGGATGATAATATGAATTCTGACCAAAGGAGATATAAAACACAGTGCATCGGTCTAAGCCTGATTTGGTACCAGTGTGTCAGATTTTCTTAAAAACAGGGTTGTTGAACCAAAGAGAGGGAATAACAAAGAAATAGCAAATATTACTTCAAAGAAATAGCATATAAAACACTCAATACTGGCTTTGTTTTGCCAATGCCATAGCTACAGGGAGCCAAGAAGTGGCTAAATCCTCTAAAAATATTATAGTCCCAGCTTAGTCAGCAGTGCATATGGACACCGCTGACTAACCTGTGCATTACCAGATCCAGAAGAACCCAAAGGGACTAACTCAAAAATTAAAAATATTGAATAATTATAAGACAACTGTATTATGGATGGTCCAATAAACCAAATTCGCTACTGTGAGAATGCAAAAGTGGAGAACAATTTTATTTGATAATTTATTCATCTTATTTACTACAGTCTTAGATTTCCCACTTGATAAATAATCTCTATGTAATATTTCAGCTATAAAATAGAACAAAAATCAATGTTTTGTGTGGGAAAGGGAAGTAGAACTTCCCTTAGAAAGTTCTTGTCTAATTTATCTGACGAACATCTGTCTCTTGTGTCAGATATGTGTCTGGTCAGATGATCAGAATCCTACACTCTGATTGGTGAGAACTGAGAATAAATAGGGGAAAAATTCACAAGTTCGGGGCAGTCAATAGAAACCCAACATTGCCATTATTGATGGCAGTCCATGACAAGAAGAACTTGCCATATTAGACGCAGTTCATTACCAGAAGGAAGCTGCAATAAGAATAACAACAAAAGATAGTCCCACATTCATCTCACATTCTCCAAGTTTGAACTATTGAGGTATTATCATTATTTTTACTGATTGTAAACTCTTTCTCTCTCTCTTATTTATTTTGAGGTGTATCTTAGATTTATAGGTTTGATTCACAATAGGTTATATTAAGTGTCTTGATTTACGTATCTCTTTGTTTTATTTTATACATTAAATTCTTTATTGTTATCGTTAAAGCCCTCCATTTAAACATTACACAGAACATTGCAAGTTAGGGTGTGAAACTTCTACCCTAGCTGGTGTCAGTCCTGATGTCGGAAGGATCCTGTGATCCCAATGACATTCTATAAAAAGCCATTCAGTGACTCAGTGAACAAGTCTTAACGACACGACAGACCAAAGGGGTTACAAGTAACATTGTAACACCTCCGTGATCTCACACTACCATAAATGTTTTAAAAATAACATTTTGAAGTTTAAACAAATAAATTTTAATGCTTTTTGTATCAATGGGAAGACTTAAGCTCCTGTAGTCCCTATGAATTGGAGTCCTTGTGTAATCCCTCATGCTTTATATACATGCTTTTGGTTTCATCACGTAAACTTAGGCAACTGTTATTTTTTTAACACATGAACTGTAGTTAATAGTGCTGACTGGAAAAGAAAAATATGAAATGTGATAAAAAAAAACGAGATTCAATCTATAAAAGTTTCAATACTTACGTAATACAAATATAGCTGCCATCTCCCCCAAAGTAGTCATTCCATAATTTATAAAGCAATTCCATCACTTCTGCCAAACTTGAAATACTCCTTGAAAGTCACTGTTTGAAAAATTCCAAAGTACTGTACCTGTTGTGATTCAGGCTGGTTTTCCTTTATTATATTGAAATGCTCTTGACTTTCAATGTTATTTGAGAACAAAAAGAAGTAATAAAAGACTAAACCCAGTGAGTAGAAAGAGAGGAAGAAAATTATTTGTTTTTTGCAAAAGACACTTGCTTGTACTTTGAAGGCTGCATGTGGAAGCTTCATCATGAAGGAGTTGGCTATGCTACAGTTCTGGTCTTTTGTAACAAACTACTTCCAGAGTCAACTCAAAATGTTGCAGTAATAATCTGAATTCAGCGTCTGACTATGAGAAACAAATTCCCAGGACACCATTCCCTTTTGAAAAAAATAAATTATCAACATGCATTGTGTCACAATCCTGACTTGTGTTGCCTTCTTGGGTGAAAGATATTGTAGTCTTGCCCATGACTTACTATAGACATCCAAAAGCATTTCAAAAGTTTAATGCAAAATTTAATGTTTGTTCAAATTTCAAGTTCATTCTTGAATCACAACACAACACTAAGACAATGTTACCAAATTGCTTGTAGCAAACCTATTGATGTGAAAACTCAACCCCTACTTGGCAGACTCAAATGTTTAAGACATTGACTTCGTAACAAAAAGAGAATAGTTTATATTATCACTCAGCAGAAAAACAGTCCAGTTTCTTTTGGAACTGCATCACATATATTATTCATTCATTACAACCTGCTCTCTGTGTGTCGTGTTTCAGTTATTAATTTTTTTTGTTTATCTAATTCTCATCCCTTGCATTATCAGATAATATAAACCTATTTTTAACAGATTAAATTAATAATAATCTGTCAAAAATCATTCATTTTAATTCTCCAGTTTAAAAAAGCAGAAAAATTAAAATGATAAAAGTTGAAGGAGTTCATGTAGCATTCCTACTAATATTAGGTCTATTTATGAATCTATACATTTTAGCTTGTCCATCATTTAACAATCTAGCCCACCCCCAATAATTCATTCCTAGCTACAAGACTATTTTATATAGACCTAACGTAAAAATGTATAATGAACAATGGGCTGCTGAATGAATAAAACTAAGCTGTTGAACATTTAGATTAATTTGTCCTAAGGATATTCCAATGTAGAGAATAAAAACTTGTTTACTGCAGTCTGTGAAATGTTGTAAGGTATTGTACATTCCTCAGTTCTATGACTAAACACATACCTAAGATTGGAAGGAGATAGTCAAAATTTACTAACCTGAAGAAACAAGTGCTGTTAATTGATAACATAAACTCTTCCCTCCACCAGTTGGCATTATTAAGATGCAGTCTTGTCCAGAAAGTGTTGCATTCATTGTGGATAACTGATATGGTCGAAGTGAATTTATTTTGAAAACAGATTTTAGCAATTCTAATAATTTTGTAGACCATGGAAAATCTATTAGAAGAAAAACAAACAATGATTTCAAGGCTTTATATCTAACAGAATCTTTGATGATTCAGTTAGATATAAGATTCATTAATGTAAAATAATATATGTATATATATTAATGTTACTATTAGTTGTAAGATCTGTAATACAAGACTAAGAAAAATTTGTGCACTATAATATTAACTGATATTTTACACTTTACTAGAATTATATAACTTTAGAACTTACTTTTAAATCATAAATTGGAAATTGAATTTATAACCTTTCAAATTCATTTTCAAACAAAAATATGTTTGAATAATTACTGTACAGAAATGTGAACTGGTGATGTATCAGATGCAGAAAAATTACAAGGTACAGAATACTCAGTATATTTTTTTCTTCTTTTTTTCTTATTAAAATGTTATACAAATATTTCACACAATTAAAATAACATTTTACTATCTTATTACATAATGATGCATCTTTACTTGTTACTTTTAAAAATAACAAGATGCATCATTATGATTTTAATAGTATGAAATAGTATATATATTTAATTGATTGTTTAACATTATGCATATGGGAATGGTCTTTTAACAAGTTTTTAAAGAATGTGATCTAGTTGGGCTATCTATATCCTATATATATAAAGTATATTTTATATAATGTACATACGTTACCCTTTTTTATAGCTTGTGCCCTCCCCTATCTATAATCTATGGGCACTGCTGATTCATATAAATACAAAATGTAATTATAAATAAATTTTAAAATAGGGATTAGGATTTATATTATATCAGTAACACATAAAAAAGTATAGTGCATGAAGTTACCATTATGTTCCCAATCAACTTTTGATAATTCTTCTGAAGCTTTTAACTGTAACTTCTGCTTTAACTTTTCTCGTTTTTGTTGCAATTCTTGTTGTTTGTTCAACAAAATATGAATTTCCTGTTCCAATTGTTGAAGTTGTTCTTCAACATCATTTAACTCATCTTCAATATCTACAAATTTAAAAACAAATTTCATATTATAAATTTTGTTTAAAATAATTATATATTTTTAAGATTTATATCATAAATAAACAAAATTCAAAACTATAAAGTAATCAAATATTATGTAATAAAAATAAATTAGATCCAAATAAAGTAATAAGATTAATGAATAAGTAAAAATTATTCATTATCTTAGGCTTATAAGATCATCTTTCTATCTATTCCAATATGATAATGATCCATTATTTTTCTTACATATAATTAGCAATCTGCAGATATTATATTTATATTATATTAATACAGATTTACAACACATACACACAACCTAATGTTTACATGAATAAAAATTAGATTAAAAATTTTATATATTTTTATATAATATTATTTATATAATTTATATAATATTTATATATATTATATGAATTTTTATATAATAAAAATTAAATATATATATTTAATTACAACTCATTATTTTTAATTATTTATGAATTAAGTGGATTGCATACTTAAAATTTCATAACATATGAAGAAATGGGTCGATACCAATGCAAATGCTGATACTATCAATACTTTAAAGAAGTACAGTACCTGATACTAAATATTTTAGGCAGTATCATTAATAGTATCAATCAGATTGTCAAACTGTGCAATTATTAACCATAAAAATATCTCTATCTAACCTTTAAACTTCAGCAAATATATGCTAAAACAAATGTTTTTGACTTTTTCAGGCCATCATCAGATAATATTTCATAAAATGGAATACTTGAAATTTTCAAAAGTTCAATGTTCAATCACCACAATGCTACTGGTATATATTTAAATAAAAAATCAGCAATTACCATTAAGCCAGCAATAACTGTCGTCTAAACAAATGTTTTCTTCCATTTTAAATAGTCATCATCAGGTTTCGATGTAAATGGAATGTTAGCACAAAAATGTAAAATTTTTTATGTTTCAATGTTCCAAAGATCTTTCAAAGATTTCAAAAATAGACTACTACTGTTCATATATAGAATAGATTGTTACAGAATTTCAAAGAACTGCAGCTGTTCAGATATATGAAAATGTGCAGCTCATCTTTGAAATTTTGCCACTATGAATGATTTTTAAAAATAAATATTTTTCTCTAAATAATGCACAGGATGACATTTACAAAGGCAAGCTGTTACTGCAAAAACCACAAATACAATTTACATTTGTAATAGTCTGAACTCAGTATGAAAGAACTTAATTCTTCTGAAATACATATCCATTTAAGTTTTATGTATGTTTTTTTCTTCTTACTATAGATGCATGCAAATACTGCCAAAGAACAGAATAGGTAGACCTCCCCCTTCCTTCATTACTAGACCTGACCCTTGTGTAAACTTGATGATTCACAGTTGACAGTCTATGCAAACAATCACAATACTATCATTCGATTAAATCATTCAATATCTCATAGTTGACTACACCAAAACTATTCAACAGCATTGATATTACAAAAATATTGCCCATCACAAATATCAATTACTATTTGATTCATTAGATAACTATTAGATCAATTGTGTAAGATAAAACTGCTAAACATTTAGATAATTTCCTATTACTAAAGCAACCAGCTATAGCCTGCTGATTTAATCAGTACAGTACCAACTTTTGAGCTCATGTTCCAATTTCAAATACGTGCCAAATTTTGTACTGATTTTAAAGTTGCAAAGATTTAGAAGAAAAAAATGCCAAGCAGTTCCCCAGCAAACATTATGTCCCCTCCACCTACAATGGCTACAAGCAAGAGGAGTTTTTCAATCTTTCTCTATAACCCTGCCTTTTCTCTACGATTACATTATAAGTCTCCAATCCAAAATAACATCATCCAGACAATATTAATTACGGTTGCATATATTATAAGAGTAGGAAATTTTAATGCCTTTAATAAAGTATCATTAACTGCATGCTACTTATTCAGAATATCAGTACAACCTCTGAACAGATAATCCATTATACTTTAATACAATGAAATATCTATTTAGTGGTGTCTAAAATACATTAGAAATTTTAGACTAAATTAATTAATATTTTAATATGCTTAATATAAATTAATATGCTTTAATATAAATTTATATATTAATAATTGAATGAATTCTGCAAAACATTATGAAAGTTTTAATTATATATTGAATGATCTTTAGCATTATTTTATGTACAGTATTTATTTTAGCATTATTGGGCTTTTCAAATGAGAATACCCTTAATGCAATATTTAATATTAATTAATGCAAACAATAATGTTATAGTATATACTTCTGTATACATATTACAGAAATGTTTAATTACTAAAATGGTAAAATTGCAGATCTGAATGACACTGCTGGGACCTTACAGAGCTGTAGACCATATCCTTAGAAGCAAATAAGTCAAAGAAGCCATATCCCTACGTGTGACAATTTGCGGAATATTTGCTTCTAAATACTAAACCTGAATGCGACAGTTCCAGTCACCATCTTGGTTGCAGATGTCATGTTTGTATGTGGCACTGGTGCCATAACAGTAACCAGTGCCTATAATATAAAGAAGAAATGCATTAACTTCTACTGACCAAAAACAGTTTTTACCTTGAACCAGTACTGCTGCCTATTCTCCGTGCTCTGAGGTGCTTGCTATTGCTAGTACTTCACCCCTAAAACTATATAACAACGAGTACTTCAAGAACTATTCAAAGCTGGCATAATCACGTCGCTAAATAGTTAAATGTGAGTTTTAGCAGAGTGCACAGCACAACAAATTGCACCCCTGCCCAGAAAGTAGGCCAAGTTTAGAAGGTTGTATCTTGCAAAGGGTTGAATGTAGAAATGTGGTTCCTTTGACTACTTTGGTCCTACAGATATGGTCTACAGCTCTGTTGAAGTCCCAACCATCTCATTCGAAGCTTGAATAGAGCCTTTATTTTCACAGTTGAGAAATAAAAACATATATACTGATTTTAAATATAGAAAAATTGACCACTATCTATTACATACACATCCTCTTCAAATTATAAATTTATAATTCCACTAATATAGAAATAAAAACATCTTTATTAACTCATTATTATTATTATATTATATATACATATTTATTGGATATGTCGTTATCTTTGGTAAAACACGTCTACGGACAGAGGATAAGAAGGGTCATAAGAAGTGTATTTATTTAGAATCCCAAAAATAATTGTTTTCGTTTTGTCAAAATTCATAAATTGTCAAATCATCATCGGTGAAAAGGAAAATAAATAAACGATACTTTTTCTTACCCGAAGACATTTCCAACATGTAATTAACAAATATATTGTTTAGAAAATCAGAAACGATCACAATTACTTTCTAAATTTAAAGCCATAGTTTCGCGCTCACTCCTTACGAAAACGTGGTTGCTTGCTTGCTTGCCGCCCTCTAGTATTGAAGTTAGGCGTTAGCTACTTTGACTATTTCGCCCCGTGTAGTAGTTATTTCAGGTGAGTGGAGTTGGGTTGTGAAACAGATGGTGATCTCAAGTTGAAAAACTTGGAAGGTCTAGAACAGGGTTGTCCAACGTTTTTGTTCCTCTGGGCCACTTTGGAAGGTGTCATGGCGTTTTGGGCCACAAGTATATACAATATATTTGCGACCTAATCCTTAAATATACTTGTATATTTAAGGATTAACATGTCTAGATTATAGTAATAAGTATTAAAACTTTATTACGAAAAGGATATTTTAAAAAAATTACTTCTACAGACACTTTCAATTTTTACTTAGAAATAGATAAATTCATTTATTATAAAGGAGACAAACAAAAATTTATTTGAAAAGCACAAATATTTGTTTTATTTGGGTATCTAATTAATAAAAAAACGACGAAACACCATTTTAAAGTGCATTTTTATTCGACTAATATATTTATAAATAATTTGTAGCCCGAAAAGTAGTCAATGCGCCAAATGATATTTTTTACGCCAAATAAAAAAGGGCAGACAACTTTGGCGCAAAGTAGCCAAATCATGCAATGCTGGAAGGAATACTAAATAAAACTGGAGTTGGAACTCAAAGGATAATAGACCCAAATTCGGGAAAAGGAGAGAAAGGACAAAAGATAAAAATGTGAGGAAGATTGGAAAATTATGGATCCATATTTGCATAACAGAAAGTCTATTTAACCTTTTTCACTACTTTTTGTCTTTTGGCCTTCCTCCTTTTCCTGAATTTGGGTCTATAATTCTTTGAGTCTCAACTTTAGCTTTATTTTGTATTCCTTCCTCATTCACACATTTCCAAGTACTGTATTTCAAAATATTTTCTTTCCACTAAAAAATAATATATATATAAAGGTTTACGGCTTTGTGAAGCTTCTTTTTTTTTAGCTTATGCCATTGAAATAAATAAATTAAATTAAAAAGTTTGTCGGTTTTTTTACACGTTTACTGGACCGCATGCGGTCCGCGGGCCGCGGGTTTGACACCCCTGATTTGAGGTATACAAATGATACAACTTTACTAGCAGAGGCAGAAGATCTGGTCACTTTAATCAAGAGCATAAAAGACGAGAGTGAAGAGATGGGCCTAATGCTCAACATCCAAAAGACCAAGGTAATGACAACAGTTGAACTGCATGGGAAAGTGACAGTAGATGACTACTAACTAGAGATTATGGATGATTTTATCTTTCTTGGTTCGAAGTTAAGTAGAACAGGAGCATGCACAGAGGAGTTTAAGCGAAGGTTAACCTTGAGCCGCACTGCTCTAACCAAGATGGACAACATCTGGAAAAGCCGAGACATCAAAATATCTACTAAGGCCAAACTGGTCCAGGAAATTGTATTCCCAATCACAACCTATGGTTGTGAAAGCTGGACAGTAAGAAAAAGGGATAGAAGAAGGATAGATGCATTCCAACTTTGGTGTTGGCGGCGGATCCTCAGAATCCCGTGGACAGATAGAACAAGTAATAAAGAAGTCCTAGATAAAATTCGACCACAAATCACCTTCGAGGCAATGATTGCACGCTTGAGGTTAAAGTTCTTTGGTCACANATTTAAGATCAACAATGCACCAGCAAAGACTAAGTAATTTAGTTTATAGCTATAGTTTCAATTGAACATGAAATCTTAGACAGCTTGGATACAAGAAAATTGATAGCAGATTTCGCAAACATGAAGGCAAGAAGAGTTCAATTTCTGTAGATAAATATTTATATGGTTTTACACTTAAGTAAATAAAAATAACTTAGTAATAATAAATAGTTCTTTTTGTAAAGTATTTCTTTTCTTTTTTCACACCTTTATGAGACAACACTAAAGAGCCTTTCTGGCAAGCTCAGCGCAGGTAGTCGTAGTTAAACAGGGGGCGGCATAATCGGTATTGTACACGGGCGTTCAAACAGCTAGCGGCGCCCCTGATCCTTTGAGTCACAACTCTAGCTTTATATAGTATTCCTTCGTCATTCACACATTTCCAAGTATTTGAAAATATTTCCTTTTCACTCAAAAATAAAATATGTATAAAAGTTTACGGCTTTGTGAAACTTCTTTTTTTGAGTTTATGCCGTTGAAATAAAAAAATAAATAAAATAAAACAATTTGTCGGTTTTGTTTACACGTTTATTGGGCCGCATTGGAACTTGCCTTGGACCGCATGCGGCCCGCGGGCCGCGGGCTGGACATCCCTGGTCTAGAAGAAATGTTTGGAAAAATCAGTACACATGTCGGGGTACACAAAAATCAGTACACAAATGTTTGGAAAAATCAGTACACATGTTTGGAAAAATCAGTACACATGTCAGTACACATGAGTGGACCGTTGGCAGTCATAATGAGAGATGAGAAAGTTAAATTGATTTAGTAGTTGTAGGTATTTTTGTATTCATTAAAAAAGGTCGATAAGGATTGAAGGCAAACGTCTTTCGGGTTTAATTGGAGGTAGTCGCTGATGTTGAGAAGATGATTTTTTGTTAGACTGTTGTTGGAGAGGATTCTACCCCTGATGTCGTCAAATTTTGAACACTCGTTGAGTCGGTGTATGGTTGTGTCTGTTTTGTTTGGGCAGTATTTGCACTGGTCAGTGGTGCAGATGTTGCGGGTATAAAGAAAGTGGTTAGTAAGCAAAGAGTTTGTTCTTGCGTGGTTGATGAGGACGTTGATACGGCGGTCAGTGATGTCAGGAATAGAAATATCTGATATGTTAGAAAACCAAGGGTAGAGATAGTTTTTGAGGTAGGCGTTCCATTTGTTGTTCATATGTTTTTCGTTGTCGGACTTGATGAGAGAGTTGAGGTCTTCGGCGGTAATGTAGTGGGTGATGTTAGAGTTGAGGGGGTTGGTTTTGGCGAGATTGTCCGCTTGTTCGTTGATGGGAATGCCTTTGTGAGCCGGGGTCCAGATAAGCTTGGTTTGAAGGTTAAGATATGCCTTTGGTTGAGGATGGTGTTAATGATTTGAATTAAGGTAGAGGACTTCTCATGTTGAGCGTGGAGAGCCTTAAGAACCGATTTCGAGTCTGTACAAATGATGGCATCAGCCTTTTTTGTGGGTGACATGATGGATTGCCTGAAGGATTGCGTATCCTTCCGCAGTGAAAATCGTGGCCTCAGGGTGGAGAGAGAAGTGAGCCGCGATGTTCTTTTTGTGTCAACAAAAGCCGCTGTCACGGTCTTGGAGGTTTTCGACCCATCAGTGGCAACGATGGTGTTGATATTTTGCTGCTCCTCCCATTCTTTAATAAAGGACTGTTGGATGAAAATGTCCGGGAGATTGGAATTTTGGAAGGCAAGGTCGTCGAGATGGATGTTGTGGATGAAGGCGTTGGTGATGCTGGACGGCTTTAACGGAAGATTGGATGGTTAAACGTTGTGCAGGAGAAGTCAGGAGCGGGTGAAGTGAATGAACGGAATCTTGACAAGAGAGGCGCCAGAATTGTGTATGTTCTGAATAATGGAGTGGAAAAGGAGGTCTGAGGTAGCTTTCTTGACGTAGGTGCAGTTTTGTTTAATGATGCATTTGTGGAAGCGGCAGTAGAGGGAGGTTTTATTTGCGGTGCGGAGTGTAACGGTGTTGTAAGTAGAGATGGGAAGACCCAGGCTGTGTTTGACGTATTGGGTTTGAATAGACTCTAAGGTGTGGAGCTGTGTCTTGGTGAGGGAAGCTATACTGGGGATGGTGTATGTAATAATACTACCAATGGTGCTGTTAGCAATGCAGAGGAGGTCAGTAAGATGGCCGCCTGTATTCTTATTGCAGAAAATTTTGAAAATGTTAAGTTTTCTGCGTTTGTTGTGGATGTATTGTACTGTACGTGTGTTTTCCAAGAGAGATTAGCCGTGATAAAAATGCCAAGAGTTTTCAGTTTGTTAACTTCAGGGATGTTCTGGCCCTGGAGAATAATGTCCTGATTGTTATGGATGTTGATTTGGATGCGGAGAATAGCACATTTTTGTGGTTGAAACGGTGAGACAACGTTGCCTTGAGGAATACCTATGCATTCGGTGAGTTCTGAAGAGGTATGACCTCTCCATTTAACCATAACCTGTCTGTTATGTAAGAAATTGTTTAACCATATGAGGGAGTTGCCTTTGAGGCCTTTGGCAATGGCTTTGCGGAGGATGTGATGATGTTTGACAGAGTCGAAAGCTTTGTGTATGTCGAAGGTGAGGATGTTGAGGAATTGGCCTGTTACGCGGAGTGTATATCTGGATCATCATGTGGGTAAGAAGGTCTGTTGTCCCCTTGCCCGGAATGCCATCAAAGTGTTTATAGTTGAACCATTGTTGTTGATGGGCAAGGTTGTGCCAACGTTTGATAATCATGCGTTCGACGGTTTTAGAGATTGTTGATGTCAAGGCAATCGGACGGTAATTGGCGACGTTCGTCGTGTCTTTACCTTGTTTGCGTATCGGGATGATGATTGTTTTGTTCATTTGGTAGGAGATGGAGCCTGTTGTCCAGATGTTATTGTAAATGTTGAGTAATTGGCGTTTGGCCTGGTTGTTGAAAGCTTTGAGAATCTTCATGGTGATGCCGTCTAAACCGGGGGTGTTCCTCCCTTTCCTTAAAGTGCTGTTGAGTTCATGTTCGGTGAAAAGACAATTGAAGGCGTCTTTAGGAAGGTCTGTTTGGTGGGGGAGCGAATGTGAATAGGATGAATCTGAGTTTGTGGGTTAAAGCATTGGTTGAAGATGTCAGCTTGACGATTAGGGTGTGTAAGTTCGCCGACTTCCGGAGGGGGAATCGTTAATCCCACGTCAGAATGATCTAGGGTCGAACGCGTGTGGGTGTGGCGGAGGAGACACAGATGACAAGAATCTCACAAAAATCTGTTTAATTTAACAGGAAATAACTTACACTATGCACAAAGTTTCTTAACCAGTTAAATGTTCATAAGTTTTAAACGTCGAGGATGTTTTTCTATCGTCACTCGGAGATGGGCCCCGGGGCTGCGGTAGGTAAGGAGACTTGTGGGTAAGCGTCGGCGGCACGGCTCTCTCGATGGACACTAGTGCGGACTCTTCGTCTTCTGTGCGTCGACACACAACAGAGAGTTTTCGCTTCGGACCTTTTTGGAGTGCAGGTACTCCGCAGCACAGTTTATGGAAGAAGTCCCTCTGTCCTTGAAGATCGGGGATTATATCAATCTCCGTTCTCCAATTTGTTTTCTGATTGGCTCCCTCGTCTGTTTCTAAGCGAAAAACGATTCCTTTTCGAGTCACGAGAAAGATCCGCCTTGAAGAATCTACTTGACACCATCCGTTATTCTGGCTGCAAAATGTTGATGGAACTTTGAAACTTGCGCTCATATTTTCCACCATTGTTGTCTAGTCTGTGACGTTTTTTGAAATTTAACGACACGACGCGATGTCCTTTTTCGTCATTAATCTTTCCTCTTTTCCAAATTTCTATGTTCTAATTATGTGCATATGAACGACTTTTCAAAGGTCCATCTCTACTGGAGGTCGTTTGTTTACACTTATTAATCATTTAAAATTATTACGTTCTGTTTACATCAATAAAGTTTTTTCCTCTCGTCGCGGTTTCATATGACTAACGCAACTAATTCGATCTTTGATCGGTTTTTAACAATAGACGATTTTTTTCTTCTAGTTTCGTTTTAATAAATTTCTAATAATAATTATTTAATTTCAATTCATTTTTTGGGTCCTCACAGGTGTGTGATAGTCTGCCCGTCTTGTTTGATGATGAGATGATCGTTGTGGGGATTAGTTTGTGCGTAGGAGGTGGATTATTTTTCATAAATTGTTCTTGTAGTTGGGAGAGGTAGAAAGGTTCTTCCAAAAAGTGCGTTTTTGAGCAAGTATAGTGTGTTGAAGATCTGCTGTCGCTCGTTTGGCATGGATCCAGTTTTCTCGGTTAGTATATCTGTGGAAGCGGTGAAATGCTTGCCGGTTTTTTGCTAATTTCCGTTGGCATTCGTTATTCCAGCACGGGGGCTTGTGGCTCTGTGGACGTGGTTGCGATTGATAAGGGTGTATGTGAGTTCTTTGTATTTGTTGATGAAATCGTCATAGGTCCAGTCCGTGTGAGTAGCCCAGAAGATGAATGTTTGTGATATGTTAATGTAGGTGCTAGTGTGAGTTTGGTTATTCGCTTTAAGTTTGCCTGTCCTGATGTTGGAAAAGTCGGTTTCGATCTTGCGATAGTGGCTGCCGCAGAAAAGAGACAAGGGGTTCCAGTTTGCAAGTGTTGCAATGTCGTTCGTAACGAGAGTGAGGTCTATGGCTGTTTTATTACCTTTTGGGTTGTAATATGTGAACTGGCCATCATTGAGGAGGATAGTGTCGGTGGACATAAGATGGTCTGCGATAATGCGACCTCTGACATCTGTCGAGGAGTTACCCCACATGGTGTTATGGGCGTTAAAATCACCGCAAATGATGGTGGTGAAATGGTCATTTCTGTTAAGAATACTTTCCGTGAGGTGGTTGTTTGCTTGTGGGGAGAAGTATACGTTTATGATTCTGATGCGTTTAGTCAAGTAGATGTCGGTGATAATCCATTCAGGTTGGCCAGCCCCGTTGGTTATCTTTGTTTCAATGAGGGACGTCGGGATGTGGAGCTTGATGTAAGTGATGAGGCCTCCGCCAGGGGAGCCTGTTCTGTAATTGTAGTAAGCAATAAACTGTGGCATGTCACGCTTTTTAGCGTGGATAAGCCAGCTTTCTTGAATCAGTATGATGTCAATTTTAAAATTTCTGATTTTTTTAATAAATCGTATATTGGCATGTGAATCCAAGTGAATTTAGATCGTCATTATCCTATTCACATTTCTTTTCATATTCTATCAGTACGGTTATTTCTTATACGCCTATATTTATTAACGTTATTTATATTTTTACAGAAGCATTTTCAAAAAATATATAAAATACTAAATTACTTAACTTAAATTATACTTATATAAAATTAAAATGTAGGACTACTGTAATTTAACTTTTCATAAGAAATTTATTATTTCTTTTTACTCTACTCGCCTTTAAATTTTGAAAACATAACTTTCATTTAATAAACTTAACAATGAATATTTATATGACATAAGTATAAAGGTTTATTATTTGCACAGAATTGTTATAAATTACATTATTTATGTAACAATAATTTGTCTTGTTGCATCAATTTGTCAAGGAGATGGGAGACAGTTTCAAATACGATGTTTGGCTTCTCATTCTCTAATGTAGATTCCAGTTCAAGATTAAAAAGAAACGAGATATACATCGTAAGTATTTAAATTAATAACTTTAAATTATTAATTATTTTAATTTTAATTTAAAATGTTATAGGCCCTATTTTAGGTCAGAGTTTTTTGATAGTGGTCCGGCAAAAGTTAAGTTGTCAAATGTATGCCGTATGTTATCGACAATGATTCCAACTGAAACTTATACAGATATATTCGTGCAATTGCAATCTTTTTACATTTATATGTAATATATCTTTACAATTGGATTCTAAGCTATTTCATAGACAATGAAGAAAATTTACGAAGACAGAGCGTTTGGCACAGTTTAGTACACAAACCAAATATCTGTCTTCAACTTTTCCTTTTTCGAAGAGATGATGGTGTTTGAGATTTTCAGAGCATACAAAACTTTATAGTGCATGGCAAGGATAGAGATGTCATTGTAGATTTTTACAGACGGAATCACACTCCTCACGTATCACACTACAAATATTATCCACCAATGTGTGCCGTCATTAGAAGTGGTGAATGCGCCGCTTCCCTTGTATTTTCTAAAAAATAAATACATATTAATTTTAATTATATGGAAATAATCGCACAATATTTTATTATAATCGCATTATGTATCTTATTACAAATTTCTATACTACACGTGAAAAAAAATAAGATCGTTATTGTATATTCTAATATTAGTAGCGGAGTGGAAGCGCTGTATTGTCAGCATCCAAAAAGCCAGATTCGCGCATGCGTTTTACAGAGCACCAACCTCACCCGGTTTAGCCGGTGGAAGCCTAGGACCTTGGGTGGATGCTACACGTATACCGCATCCAATTCTATCCGGGACCGGTTCTAGGCTGTTAGCCGCCTGTCCGCTAGATAATTGGCCGCCCACGCCCGATTACGTGAATCGCGAGTAGATTTATAACTTAACCAACCGATAAGAATTTACTGGTATGTTTTTATGATAGTTCTGTATAGTTGACAGGAGTTTAAAAAATAGATTAAAATATTTGATATTTTTATTCCGCTCTCCGATTTTATATTACTCACGGATTTCAATGTTACACCAGTGATATTACGATTTCGTATATCCCATCTTTAAGGGGATGTAGAAAAAAAAACGTGTACAATTCTTTTATAATGTTAAAAAATTAACCGTTACTTTGACAGCGTCATTTACAACTAAATTTAATGAATGAGAGAGATGCACGAGGTACAGAAAAAGCTCTAGAATTTATTTTCCTTAAATTTACGATTTATGTATCCGTTTGTCATAAAAATTTGTCTTTCCATTTTTTCCCGAGACTACAAATTTTCGAGTACATACAAAGTAACCGGTTTCGACTTATTTCTACTTAATAAGTAGTTAAATAATTAAGCGATTAGGGAATTGGGAACATAAACAAAACCCTGATGAAAGAGCCGAAATTCTACTTAAACAAAAGCTTAACCGAACCATCTCTAGCCGAGTACAGTGGAGACTGATTTCTTCGTATTATTAATGTAATAAAGACAGAAATTTTTCCAGTTCAACGAGAGTGACTGAACGAAAAGTTGTAAATTTTGGAAATTTCCGTGGACACCTGGTCCTAAAACGAATCAGTTAAAAAACAAATGACGGACAATCTATTAAGTTTAACATGTTTAGATTTTTACAGCAATGGCGAGAAACATTTAAAATCTACACTAGCCCTGTCTCGTCCTTTGAGATATACTAGTGATGCGACAAAAGAGGTGTTTGACATTGATCGGTATCGGCACCATGGGGATTTGGCAGTTCGAGTGTATGCACGCTCTGCAACCGTCTTCGATTCCATCCATTAACCACTCGTAGGGAGCTATTTGACTAAGTCCATTGTTTTAAGATTTAAAAAGTAAAGAATATTTTATATTTTTATGTATGTTTCTTTACAAAGCTATATTATAATTTTCTTCTTATGAATATAAAAGTATATTCATATTATTATATTCTAATTATTATGTTATTATATTCATACAATTGAAGAATATTTTGTGTCAGGTATGTACCGATACATCCACCACACATTTTATTTCACCAAGTAAGTTTTTACTATTTTATTTGTATATAATTACTTTATTTGTATTATAATTGTAGCTCTTATATCGTGGCTAGCGATTCGGAATGTAATTGTGATATTAAAAATGCATTTAGGGAAGTCTACGGTTTTTACTGGCTTATCGAATAAACGATACGAATGGACCCTAGACCATCACTGACGCGCAATTGACTGATTGCCCCTGGATATCTGCTTCTTACAGAAATACAGCTTCCCTATCATCAAATGTCACAGCACGCTACTGTTATCCACAAATACGAGAGAACAGTCTTGGATTTATTGCCAGAAATACGGAATGATATTCAATTTATCATCAGATATAAAGTAATTCTTTATAATCACGAAAAACAATGGAAAGCAAAATTATAGTCGAATTTCAAATCTTATCACTTATTAGAGACGAAGATTATATAAAAATTTTGTTTTGAACTCTCTTATATTTCTAAATTTTCATGTTAACATGAAATACAATTATATTTTTCGTCAGTATTTCATCTTATGAATATATTGTTAATGTATAAGAGAAAAGAATAAACTCTTTAACAAACTATAGTAATAAACAAAATATATACTGTATTTACTAAGTCGTTATTTGTGTTATTTGCGTTTTAATTACGCATCAATGCTTTAATAAATTAAAATACACATAAAATTACTTATGTTCAGATATCAAAGCGTTAATACTCGTATAACCATTAAAAAAAATTATTTTAGTGTAACACATAAAAAGCCCTACCAGTCTACAGAATAACGTTTGAGTTTTCTAATTCCTATACAATTCTCCAGATAAAATTGCGTAATGTCTTTTCAAAAATATTACTAAAACATAGTAAAACGTCTACTACATATAAGAAGAAATTACGTAATAAATATGAATAATATGTTTAAGCAATGTTAAAACGTAAAATATTTAAGGCATCACTTTCTAATTATCAAATAATTAATTGGTTGTTAACAAAAAGCTGTATTGTACATAGTAACGCATGCAGTACCATAATATTACTTTTATGGTAAACATAAACTGCAATACATAATTTATTTAGAAAAATAACAAACAAAAATATACAATAAACAAGAAGACAATTTTTTTTATGAACTGTTACTATGAGAGGTAGAGACTTGAAACAAAGGTAATAAACGAAGAGTGTTTTTCAAAATACCTATGCATGATTACGACCTGATAATTGTGTTTGGAATTTAACTAAATATCTTCATCGTACCTGTACATCGATTGGCTAAAATGTATTGAGTTTTCAGGACGTAAATATAAATTTCAAAACAGACACTTCGGGCCAAAAATTTCTTCCTATTTTCGAGGTGGCCCGGAAGGATATGCTCGGTAGCTAGGCCCGTCCCGGATAGTATGTCGAGTCCCCGCCTTCACCACTTGCCATCCCTTCGCGGGCCCGACCGAATACACGACGGGCTTGGAAAACGTTTATGTAAACTTATAGAATAGCGATGATTTAACAAAAATACGCAATAGCCTAGTATAAATAAACTAGGGATACTTTTCTCCTGGTCACCGTAAACAGCCTCACTTTCGCCCACTTGTTTCCAGTAAAGAATATTTGTAAAAAAAAAAAAAAAAAACATTTCGTTACGTTTTTAAGCTAGATATTATATATAGAATAAATACTATTTTTTAAATATTATATGAATTCAAAAAATAAAAAATATTCCTAAGAAAACTTTTTAGCTAAATGAGGTCTTTAAAATATCAATGAATGGATATACTGTACTGTATGTGTCAAAAGAAAATTTAGTTGATGAAAATGACAATAGATGGCGCAAGATTTACTAAAAGTACTCGCTTTAAATTTAAAAACTGTAAGGTTTTTTCCCCTAGTCTCGTAGGCACTAAGAGGGCCTTTATCCGCTATGGATTCGGCCAAGTTCACAAGGGGGAGGCCGGAGAGTGAGGTCCGACGTATAGGAGATGGACTACCTCCCGAGAAATGGACTACCTACCACCCATAACGCCTTGGCCATTGAGTCGAGTCGTCTTTGAGTTTTCTNGAGACGGGACCCAACATATCCGAACGGACCACCCCCTGGAAAAATTCCTGGGGATTTTTCGGCCAGTCGGGATTCGAGCCCGGGTTCCCCAGAGCGGTAGGCTGCCACCTTGACCGCTCGGCCATCCGGCCGCTATTGAGTCGTCTGTATATAGGCTGGTCTAATATATAATGTTTGTTTTTTCATGTTCTTGGAGTTTCATTATAATTTAAAATGATCGATTTCAAGTTTAAATACGTTTTATCAGTTAATAAATAATACTTTATTGTCGAAAATACAGTAATTAACAATTTTAAAAGCGATTAAGATTATTTGCTTAAACTTCATCAAATATTATGTATTTTAATTACGTTAACTGTA